AAAACAAGCCCATAGTAGTGCATATTTGTGAAGATAGAGGAGAATGACTCATGGTCTACATGGTTCTGCAAGCTGGAGGTCTTTTGAAGTAGGTTTCTATCAGCTTTGCACCTGTATGGACTCAAATCTCTGTCACTTCTTTGTAAAACTCGGAACCTCTGTCACATTAGATGGAGAATAACTACACACACATATTTTCAAGTCTTGCCAAAAAACCTTCCATAAGATTTGGTCTCGACTTGATTGGTTCATTTTTAACACGATTATAATTAATCTAGCCACTTTGCCGTCTTGCTAGAACGAGATTCTGTGTGTAAATTTTACCCAGTGGCTTTTCTTGTACACGTTTGCCATGTTTCCTTGTTGCAACCCGCATAAATGCATAAAAGGTTAATTTTGACAATCATGTATTCTTGCAGCTAGTTTATTTAAAAAATTTAAAACCTTTATATAAACTTCGCTTCCAGCTTTGTGCTGCTCCGTCAGTAAAAATGTTGGCGGACATCAATAAATAATCAGGCGAAAAGGATGAAATTCAACCTTTGAAGATCATATCAGTTTGTTTTTAAATCTCTTAAATGAGTTACTTGGAGAAAATGGAGCCTCAATGGCTGTAAAAATGCACAAAAGATTTATAGGTGCAGCAATATTGCAAAGAGAGAAGAGAGAAAAACAAAAACAATCCATAACTGTTCCTTAATGGCACTTAGTCAATCGGGTTGTTAATGAATTGGCGCCTCATTGAGGGGCTGAAGCACCTGACCGAGACCAAAGACAATCAGGAGCTCGACAGAATCTAAAATTATAAGACAGTAAAGTCCTCACATTGATTTGCTTTAGACCTCGACTAACCTTGCCATTCTTCAAAAGGTTTCAAGGAAGCATCAACAGACCCTCTGATTATGGCAGGTCAAGTCAAAGAAATTTGTAATTAAACTTCACCACAGAGACGTCACAGATGTGAGGCTGAGACCACGAAGCTAAATACTAAGAAAGCTTCTACATTCAAACAGAAATTCATAAAGAGGACAGGTTTGGGCACTGCAAGTATTGTTTTGTTAAACTGCTTCTGACCTTCTAACCTGATAATTACATCAAAATGGGAAAATTAAAGGAATCAGAAATAAATTGCTGTCTTACACAAATCCAGCAAAGATCTGACATTCCTGATTGACCTCTACATCTTCACTGTGAAAGAGGAAATAATTACAATAATTGTCTCATATTCATGCAACTGACCACTGATCTGGTAAAAATAGAGAGAGAACCAGAGAACCGAATCTATCTGTTCATCCATGCATCTATGTATCCATGCATCAGTCCCATTTTAAAACCATCCATCCATTTATCTATGTATCCATTCTTTTATTCCAGTATCACCAACTAATTTAATAATCGATTAATTGTTAACTGAAGTACAGACTAAAAAAAGGCCAGTTGCTAAAAGAACAACACAGAGCAGCAATAAAGCTAAAATTGTACAAAAATATGAACATTTAGAAAAAAAAAAAAAAAAACTTTATTTATATATATGTTATATATATATATATATATATGAACATATATATATATATATATATTTATATATATGCTCCACCCACAACTCCTCAAGTGGCAGTTTTAGCTTCACCTGGTTCAGATTCTGTAAAAAGAAAATCTCAGATTAAGCCCCTCTGCTTTCTAATTGTTAATCAGTTCATGCAAAAATTAATCGATTACTATGCAAATGATCATTTGTTTACAATCGGAATGCTATTTTGGCATTTTAGGCAAAACACATGTTTATTTCCTTATTTTAAAAATAAACTGAATCACTTATTTATTTGTATTTTTCAATATATTTCTAAGATTGTCAAAAAAAAAAAAAAGAGATTTAGGCGGTACAATGAGAAATCTGCAGAATGTGATTAAATCTGATTAATCGATTAACCATCTGAATAATCGATAACCAAAATAATGGATAGTTGTAGCTCTGCATCCCTTCCATCCATCTGTCGCTTTTTTAATCCATCCATCCATCGGGTTGTGGAGTTGACATGGAACCAACACATCCATTTTCTTAGCAGCATTCTGGGTCAGCCTAAGGTTTTCGTCGCAGCAGAATGTGATTAGGAGCGCCTTTACTCTGGTTAAAACTGAGCCTAAAACTGATGTTGTCTATACACTGCTTTTAAAAGACACAAAATTGGAAAAGCATGGCTGTGATGGTCAATAACTGCAAAGTGTTACTTTCTGAAGGACTGCAGTGTGTTTGGTTGGTTACATGTGTCCTCTGGTGCAGTTTAATCTCCAATCTAAAGGTGCAAATTCTGCAAACTGGTTCACAGTCTTATTAGCGTTTTGGATATTCTCACAGGCGTCACACGGTACCCCATCACAGCAGAAGAAAGCAAAAATATCCTCAATTTCAGCAACAACAAAGGCAGAGAAAATCCTGCACTGGTGGCACTGACAGAGTCATTTGGAGTCACACTAATGATGTGATAGTAGGCTGTCAGAGCCGCAGAGGGCAATTGCTCATATATAAATCACGGCATTGAATGGAGACCATAATCCCCTGCACTTAAACTGATCTGTCTCTTCACAAAATGTATCTATAGCGGTTACAATGATGTTTTCTTTTTTATGAAATGCAGCAGGCTCTTCAAGTTATTTCCCATGAAGCTCCTCAAATATGTTTTTCATAAGAATGAGTCATATTATCATAAAACAAACAACCTTATGAACAGACATCATAATTCATTGTCCCACATCTAATCTTTTCTTTGCCATTTAGGTAAAAAGCCTTGCAAAAGTATTTGACCCCGTGTCCTCTGGAAACTCTTCTCCATTTGGTTTTAGAAATCACGTAATTATCAATTCAGAGTTTAATTGTGTGTAATTTAGTCACATTATGAATACATCTGTTCTGCGAGGGACTCAGAGGTTTTACAGATGAACAAACAGCACCATAAAGGCCAATGAACATTGCGAAAAAGACAATGTCTCAAGCTGTGACAGACCAAGCAAGGAGAACATTATTCAGAGAAGCAGACAAGATTCACCATGGTAACCTTGTAGGAGCTGCAGCAATCCGAAGCTCTGGTGGGGCAATCTGCCATCTTTTAGTCCTGCACTCCACAAATCTTTAAACAAGATTGAAAACAAGAAAGCTACTATTGCAAGAAAGCCACAAAAAAGTTCCTGTTTGTGGTTTGCTAGAAGCCATTTAGAGGGGGACATCAAGCATTTTTTTTTTTTTTTATCAGCAGGAACAGGGAAAGTGGACAGAGTTGTTGGGAAGACGGATGGAGCTAAAGACAGGTAATCCTGGTAGAAAACCTGTTAGAGGCTACTAAAGAGTTGAGACTGGTGTGAAGGTTTGCCTTCCAGCGGGACAATGACCCCAAACATACAGACACAATCTGATGAAACTCAAGAAGCACTAGCAACAATCTCGTCTCTACACCTGCACAGCTTGTACAGACATAAGCTAAAATTTTGCAGTGGTAAATGCAGCAAGAGGACATTTTACAAAATATTGACTGTGTGGCAGACTACAAACGCTACCACACATTTTGGAGTTTTACATGTAAACATGTTCAAAGCTTTGTAAAGTCTTTCTTACACCTCATAACTGCACAGCTCTTGGTTGGCCCATCTTATAAAGTCACAATTGAATCCACTAAGAAACAGCAACCTGTCGTAAATGTCTGTGATTTCTAAATCTTTTCATGACTACAAAGGCAGAAATGTTGGTCTACAAATGTACTAGAACTTGTTGAAACATACAACTTTAACTCGAAGGAGGAGCCATTGGTACATTGACTCAAACGTTAAAAACAAATGCACATCATCATTCACATATCTGTATTTGTAAAAATGATAAATATGGAATCCTTTTTCATTTCACTCCACAGTTACGTAGTAAAATCCAGATAAATACATTGATGTTTGTAGCTGCAACATAATTAAATATGATACGTTTGATGGGCATGGTATGTCTCTAATGAAGCAAGAAACATCTTTCATATTCCTAACAAACAGAGCACATACAGAAAAGATGCGGTACACATGAGCATAATTCGTTCTAATCATAATTATTAGTTTCACGATCAGCCATGATAAATAGTTACAGCTACAGTAAACCTGTACTAGTGAATGAAAGCCAAACAGTTATCAATTCATGAACTTATCCAAGTAAAGATTTGAAGAAATGCTAAAAAGTTGATTAGTTTTTTTTTAATTGTACGTTAATAAGTCAGACCAATTATCATGGCCACAGAAGCAGAGAACATGGCACGCCACCTCCCTGTCTGAGGGGCTTTCTTCTGTCTACTTATAAAGCAATTAATTAGTCAGAACTTCTTTAATTCTTTAATTAGAAAGTCCTTCTTTAATTTGACACATTACCATGCGACCAGCCACTTACTCAAATGACTGTTTAATTATAGCGAACTCGCATAAACACGTGGACACATACATCTTCTCGCTGCGCCACTCCCTGGGTGACGAGTCGAGTGTTTTGTGTGGGAGAACCGAAGGCGTGCAGGAGCTTGTGATTGGCAGGCAGTGTTGTCACGGTAACAGACATCCAGACACAAATACCCGCGTACACACACACACACACACATAATCTCAAAGGAGCAGTTTTCCTGCAGCAGCTGCACGACCCCTAAACAGGCCAGACAACTGGAGCCTCAGGACATGGCAAGGTAATAGGAAACAGTAAAGACTAAAAAAATAAGCCACTTTTTGTCCATCCTGCCACCCAATAATAGGATTATGCCACAATTCCCATTTAAGGTATTCAATGTTGGTAGAAAAGAAGGAACAAAATAGCAAGGTATGAAAGCTAGCTGAGGTAAAAAACTCTCCTGAGCGAAGAGAAAAGTCCTCCAGTTGAGCTTTTAGACACTTGGGTTGAAATTCGACATGGCTTAGGACAAAATGATGAGGATTTAAGAGCATGCTGTAATCCTGCTGCTGTAGAGGAATACTTTAGAGGGAGTAGTCGGTACCTGGAGGGAGGCTGGCTCTCTTTCTCTTTTTGCCGTTTTCAGCAGTGTTATCCAAGGGAGCGCACTCAGTCCCAAGTGGACCACTAGAACCGTTGAACTGAAGAGGATCGTTGTTGGCTGCTGGATCGAAGGGCAGAGCGTTGAGTCCTGAAAGACAGACGAGAAGAAAAAGAGAATTTATTAATTACTTATTGCAACAGGCTTAGTCCAATCTTCTGGTTCTAGTCTACTCTGCATTTCCAGAATCAGAAGAACATGAAGAAACAGCATACAGTTTTTTTAGAACTACTAATCTGGAAAAAAGCTCCTGAAGCACCAAGTTCTTTTAAATCACAGCTAAAAACCCATTTATTTAGAGCTGCTTTTGGTTAATAATATATATATATTTTTTTTTTTTTTTTGCTGAAATACGCTATATAAATAAATGTAAATTGATTTGAGTCTGTATTGAAACTAGTGTTCCTAAAAACTGCAATGGAAACACTTATTTTGCATCACACCAGTCAAATGATCAAAAACCAGATGTTACTACAGGCAGAAAAGATGAATACGACGACAGGAAATGATCGGATGATGATGGCGTGGGGTGTTTTCTAATGACTTACTGCATGAACAAATTTATTACGGTGTGATTTTACTTGCATTTCTTATTAGATAGAAAAAACGCAACTGCGAATTTGTGTTTTTTTTTCTTTGCAGAATATCGACATGGTTTTGCAAATTTCTAATGAAAAAAACAAACAGCTATTGTCAGCACAAAACATCTCAAGGATGCTTCCTGTATGAAACATAGAAATCAGACTCAAAAGGATAAAAACTGAACAAAAGAAAGCATGAAATCGCAAAAAGAATAAAATAACCAGCAACTACAAAATGGGCGTAAAGTTATTCTTTGAGGAGGTCCTAAATCTTGGTCCTCATGGTCCATTATCTGGGATGTTTTAGATGTTTCTTCGCTCCAGCACACCCGATTCTAATAACTGTTCTTCTCCCTCTGCATGCAATGAAGTTCTACAGCAGACCGTTAATGGCCCGTTTATTTAAATGAGGTGTGCGGCCACAGGGAAACAACTAAAACATGACGGACGGAAGGATTTCAGGACCAGCCTTGGGAGTCACTGACATAAAAGGCCTCTTAGAAAAATATAAGTTCCAGCATAGCAGTAATTTATCTTTTATAAGCAGAAATCCATTAAAAAGATCATGACTCAGGTCAGTAAGGAGCAGACCTTACTGACTCTCTTAAACATTTTTGGATAAAGTTGGCAGTGTGGGTATTTAAAAACACTTAAAAGTGTTTACATAAAAAAGCGATGATATTTGAATAACCTATTGAATACAGAAATTTCACTTCCATAGAACCAACATTTCTGGTTCGTTCAACTGTAAACTGTGCAGATGTTAAAAGACGTTTTATAAAGCATAAAGTATAAACTAATATTTATCACACTGTCCAAAATACAAACATATGACGAGCATACAAGAAAAAAAAAAGTCAACTTTCCTGAGTCTCTTTTTCTAGTTAAATTGGGTTTTCTGTCTCTCTTTTTCCTGTCAGAGCAGAGCAGAATCCTAGAAAGATTCAGTTTACATTCATGAAAAATTTATTACATTTCTTTGTGCTCAAATTTATTTTCCCTCTGTGGCACAACTGAGCAGGAGATCCAGTCTCCTGCAGCTTCAGCAGAGCACTAAAAATAGACATATTAATGTGGTTTACATGTAGCAACAGCCCAAATGAGACGGTGTCATCCGTCTTTACGTTTTATGACTTCAATCAGACAGAAGCAAGACTGACTAACAAATAAATTACAGAAGGCAAAAAAAACAAAACAAGAAATGAAGCTGCAAACTATTAAGACTCTATTTCAAATGTCATCAAACTTTCAAGTTGATGTCAACAAATATATTCTCTTGTGTGTTCATATTTATTTAATCTTTCATAAGGCTTTACAGAGACTTGCAGAATTATTTATATTCCTTGAACTTTCCAAATTTTGTGATATTAGAACCAAACATTTCAAGGTATTTAATGGCAGTCATTCCAACACAGACAGTTGCTTTGATCCAAGCTCTGGTTGTATGTTTAAGGTTGTTGTCCTGCTGAAAGATGAATCTCCGCCCCAGTCTCAAGACTTCACTAGCTTCTTAAAAGTCTCCTTTCAGGATTATCTTGTATTTGGCTCCACTTGTTATTGTAATTAACGAGGAGAGACGGCAATAAAAATAGCAGCAATAGCAGCCATCTGCCTGCTTTCTTCACTGTGACACAGCGTCTCCAGAGGTGAGGCACTGAACTGCACTGCTTCGCTTCAGACTCCTTACATAGGTTTCAACAGGCAATGCGTAAATTCATTATATTATAAAAAATAAGCAATTTTGACCTTAAGAATGTTGAAATCATACAAAGCAAAAAACAAATTTGCACACCGGTGAAGCGAACAAAATGATTTTCTGTAATTACTGTGCGGTTGAATTTTTTAAATTATATTATGACTAATAATCTGATGGTCATGTTATGTCATGTCTTTTTTCCAGGTGCTTATTAACTTTAACCAAAGGAACATGTCGGGGCTACACACCCAAGGTAAGATATTGTTTTCTGCAGCTGCTCAGGAGTCAGACTGTCTCCCCAGTGTTTTGGGATTCCCTGTCTTTGAATGAAACCGATGTATGGACTCTGTCTGAAAGAACCCACTGTGAGCCTCACAGCTTTAATCTGACCTGTTCATGAGTTTTTGATCTTGTGGTTCCTATATCATGTGCATGGTATAAAATAAACCTGACTGGGCGATACCACCTAGCAGTGCTGACAATTAATTTCTTCCATAATAATTGGTCGCACCTATTTTACTTGTCATGACTGACCTGCATTTTTTTTAAGTTTCATAAGTTTTGAGTTTTCTTGCCTTCTTCTTTTGGTGAGCAATCTACTAGCGTTGTATTTAACTGCATTGTATTTATGGACATCAGAGTAAAGGGGGCTGAACAAGAAGAGGCTTGCCACAATTGTCTAATTTTTGTACGTATAAATGTTTGAAAACCTTCCCACGTTGCACTTATAATAAATTACATGAAAGTTTGTGGTTGCAACATAGAAACATGTAAAATGAATCAGTGGGTATGAATACTTTGGTTACCATTTTGCCTCACAGTCGCCTTATGGGAGAAGCTGAAGATTTGCTTGCATATAGTGACAAGAACATGAGGCATAAGGGATTCAAACACTCTGAATGTGTGGGTGGTGGATCTGTGGGTTCTACATTTGCTGCAGACTCAGTTTAAATGGATCTCCTGTCCGGGCTCTCACACATCTCTCCAGTCGATCTCTACCGAAAATCCATCTGTCACACTTATTTACAGATGACCGTCAATCCTCTAGAGTGAAACAAATCCATTACTCAGGCAATGTTAACTCTGTCACCAATAAACAGATACGGCTTACATTAAGGGAGACAGCTCTCAGTCACTAAAGGCAGGAAGAAGTTCCCAGGAAAAGAGGCGAAGAGAAGCAGTGGAAAGATTGAGACAATGCTGAACAGCTGTTAGGGAAATACCACTCAGCTTCAGGGGATAATGTCCCATTACAGGTCATGAAGGACAAAATGTTCACTTCTGCCCCCACTTGTAGGCATATCCAAAAAAATTTCATGGATTCTTCTCCCTTAGGAATATGACTTTATGAATGTGGCACCGAGGTTGTAAAAACAATCAAGACAGACATTTCCTGCAATTTAAAACTAAATCCACTTGATTTTATGCGACCAGAAAATCTTGAGTGAAATCCAAGACCTCATCTGGCTCTTAAGTAACCACAGTAATTCAGTGTAAAGATTGGACACAGAGGAAATGAAACATTTTAATCACCAGCCCGACGCTCAGTACTGCGAGTTTCAGCTGAACCGAGCGTCCATTCCTGCCCCGTACGTGTCTTTGGAACAGAACGCTTTCAGCAAAGGGGTGTAAACCTGCATATTAACAATGTCTTTGCAGGGTCATTGCCCCCGTCTCTGCTGCTACTCATGTATCTGCTGGCTGATGAATGGCCTGTTTAAATTTCAACATCTGGCCAGGAGGGAGGAGCGATGTCAGCGAGTATCACTCCCCGGGGGAGGAAGAACATAAATACCAGGAGGCTGGGTGGAGACAGGAGGAGCCCGAACAGAGTGGCTGCAGAATAAATTAAGGCAATGAAACTGCTAAATGGAGACACAAACTTTATGCGGTGAAAATGCAATCACAGAAACGTGGCAAATTATTGTGACCCACACATATCAAGGACGCATTAATAACATGCAGTACTAATGATGGAGAGCCAGGCGAGCACAGGCACATTAAAATACACGGTAAAAGTCAGTGGGTCATTAACTCGGCATATGACCACCTTGGAGTTCAATCAGAGTCTGTACTGTGTATTCCCCTGCAGAATGAGGGACAATGTGATGTTCCAATTTAATGCATTTCATTGTTAAGGTACACACTGAAGGCGCACCAAGTTACATTTTGTTCCCTTCAGGTGTATCTACACACATAACCGCAATCAGATATTTGTAACTCCATGTCCATTAGCCTAGAAACAGGCTGAAATAGGAATGGATTTTATTTTGCAACGTCAGCATGCAGGAACGGTGGAAGAACAAAAAAAAAAATCCTTTTTGATGCATTTTGGGGCTGAAATGGACGGTTCTAACTCTGTCAACAACTTATCCTGATATCCTTTATGACTTAATTTTGAGTGAGGCAAAAGATTGGAACATATAAATGAGTCATTTGGATAAATTATGGTTAATTTTTAAGGGCATAGGAAGATAAAAAATCCCTTACAAAGCAGTGTACAGCGAATACAGTGCCTCATCTCAATGAGAGTACGTCATAAGACATCCAAAATAATATAAAATGAATTCTATCCCACATGCCAGTCCCACTATTTTTAAAAGGTATAATCATGTTTGCTCCAACACTCAATTTCATAATGGGATCCATTAAATAATGTTGATATAATTAGTCTTTAATAATGCATCAAGGGTTTATGGCAGGTTCAGGATTTGAACTTATGATCTTTCAGTCAGAGAGCACAGCACTGAGCTGCACTAATTTTCCTAGCAGCACATTTGTATAATTCTCCTGTAATGCCTCATCTAATTCCT